GGGCAGGGAGCCCTGGCTGCTTTCCTTACAGCCCAGGCGGGCTGCGACTCAAAGCGCTGCTTGGGCTGTGCCTGACGTGGCTCCGAGCGCAGGTGGGACCCCGGCTCCTCGGGGCGTCCCCCTTCCCCGGAGCGTTAATGGGCCCCAAATGGAGGGACCGGCAGCTTTTTAAAAAATCAGGATGAGAGCTCGGGTCTCATGACGCCCCGTCCAGCTGCCAACATCTGGGATTGCAGTTTGGCTGCTCTCCTGGCGCAGGCGAGGATGCCAAGCGCCGCCTTTCGGGATTGGCCCCGCGGGAGATTAGCTTTCTTATTCCTGGAATTTCTTCTTTCATGTCTTTGCGGGGGCTGTGCCCCGTGGCAGAGCACGGCTCCGCTCCTGGCCGCGGCTCCCGGTGCCGTCCCGGGCCTGGTGGGTGCTCAGCACCACCCTGGTGCAGCTCCAGACCCCCCGTTCCTGCTGCAGCTCCTCAGAGGCAGCTTTTGGGGGGCACTGGGGTCTTGCTGGGGCTCCCTGGCTGTGGGCAAGCACCCGGTGGCACGTGGCTGGCCAGGGCACAGCCTGACTCTCGTGCCACGCAGCACACTGGACCAACTGCCCGGTGCTCTCGCAGCGTGCGTTTGCCACCCTACAATAACAGACACGTGGCAACAAGCCCGTGAATTGTGGCTAATGAGTCGTAAAAACTCCCAGGAGCCTTTCCCAGTGCTGCAGGGAGGAGGTGGCAGGGGCAGGAGGGGACTCAGGACTGGGGGTGACACCCGTGGGGACTGGGGAGGGTGACGTGGGGTCCGGCAGCACCAGCTGCACGTTGTGCCTGGGGGTGCAGGCTGCTCTGTGGAGGAACAGGGGTGTCTCCATCCCTGGGGGCTGCCCCGTGGTGCTGAGCCCCCTCTGGTCTGTGTCCTTGCAGAGAAGGAGGAGATCGACCACCCCAACAACAGCTTCAACCCCTGCAGCATCCACGACCGCAAGTGCCTGCAGAAGCAGCAGGCGAAGCGGGTCAACAACGGCAACAAGATGCGCAACAGCGGGAACCCGTACCCCCGCGAGGAGACACGGCCCATAGTGAGCACCGCGGGGCTGGGGAGGGGGTCAGGATGGGTGGTGGGGGTCCCAGGATGCTGGGGTGGGGGCACTTGCCAGCCCCGCTGCCAGCTCAGCATCAACCCCCATTCCTGCAGGCGCAGGGCTCGTGCCAGAGCGAGCTGCACCGGGCGCTGGAGAGGCTGGCGGCCTCGCAGACCCGCACGCACGAGGACCTGTACGTCATCCCCATCCCCAACTGCGACCGCAACGGCAACTTCCACCCCAAGCAGGTAGGACATGGAACCTGGAACAGGTTGCCCAGGGAAGCTGTGGCTGCCCCATCCCTGGAGGGGTTCAAGGCCAAGGTTGGATGGGGCTTGGAGCAACCTGGGCTGGTGGGAGGTGTCCCTGCCCAGGGCAGGGGGTTGGAACTCGATGATCTTTGAGGTCTCTTCCAACCCAACCCATTCTATGACATGGCTCTCACCCATCACGGGGCATCCGGGGGGGGGCACTGGGAGGAGGACACGGATGGATGGGCCAGTGCTGGGACACAGCAGAGCCCACCTGTGGCTCCTTTGGTGGGAATCACCCCTCAGGAATCCCCCTTTGGAAAACGCCTGGGGTGGGGTGAGGGTGGCAAAGCCCCGATGAGAGCTCCTGGTTGCAATCACCAGGCAGCCCACGGGAACGGGGCCGTGGGGGCCAGGCTGGGCACCCCTCACCGAACCTGTCCCTGCAGTGTAACCTGGCGCTGGATGGGCAGTGGGGCAAGTGGAGGGGGCTTGGAGCAACCTGGGCTGGTGGGAGGTGTCCCTGCCCAGGGCAGGGGGTTGGAACTCGATGATCTTTGAGGTCTCTTCCAACCCAACCCATTCTATGACGTGGCTCTCACCCATCACGGGGCATCCGGGGGGGGGCACTGGGAGGAGGACACGGATGGATGGGCCAGTGCTGGGGCACGGCAGAGCCCACCTGTGGCTCCTTTGGTGGGAATCACCCCTCAGGAATCCCCCTTTGGAAAACGCCTGGGGTGGGGTGAGGGTGGCAAAGCCCCGATGAGAGCTCCTGGTTGCAATCACCAGGCAGCCCATGGGAATGGGGCCGTGGGGGCCAGGCTGGGTGACCCTCACCAAACCTGTCCCCTCAGTGTCACCCGGCGCTGGACGGGCAGCGGGGCAAGTGCTGGTGCGTGGACCGCAAGACGGGGGTGAAGCTGCCGGGTTTCCTGGAGCTGAAGGGGGACTTGGACTGTCACCAGCTGGCGGACAGCATGTGAGCACCACCGCGGCGGCCCCGCGCCGTGCCGCGGCCAGGACAGCCCCCGGGGCTGCGTAGGTGAGGAAGAGAGGGGGACACGACTGCCGAGCAGCTCCCCGGTGCCGGGGGACCCCGCATCGCCACCACGCTCTGCGCCACGGGCTGCCCACGGCACGGGGCACGGCGCCGCCACCTGTGCCATGACCACTAGCCACCGCCGCTGAGGGGTCCCCGGCGTAAGCACAGACACTTGTGTGGACAGATGCTGCCCTGGGAATGGGGTTGGGGTGCAGCGGGGGGAGAGCCCCCCCTTCGTGCTGCTGCCGCCCCTCGCTGCTGCTCCCGCTGCCCTCCCGCCCCGTGGTGCCCCCCCCCAGCTTTTTCCCCAGCCCCTCTGTGCTGTGTCGTGGCTGGGGGACTTGGAGCTGTGACAGAGGCTCAGCTGCCACCCTGGCACAGCCGTGCTGGTGCCCCGTGGGATGCCACGGTGCCCCCCTGCCCGCAGTGCCTTGCCGTTCGTGCCAGACCTCAGCAGGAGAAGTGCCTCGTCCTGCTGTGCCAAGGCTGCCTGGGCACGGACCGGGGGAGCCCCTGCCTCTGGGGGGGTCCCAGGGAGACCCCCTTCCTCCACTGCCTGCCTGGGGCCCTCCCTGGCTCCGTCTTGCCCAAATTATGTGTGTGTGATGGGCACCGCAGCCACACCGAGCAAGAAGAGACCTTCCCCCTCCCCACTGCAGCCCCCAGCCCCATGGATGGGAACCGCCTGCCCCACATGGCCCAGGAACCACCTGCCCCCCCAACCCAGCCCCATCCCATTCCCCGTGCAGGGACAAAGCCGGTGGCCGCAGCGTTGTCCTCCTGCCCATCCTGTCCCCCACTGCCCCGTCCCGGGGGCTCGGGCACCCCCAGGTGTGCGTTGTGTCCCCATGGGCACCGAGTCCACGGGGAGGGCTGGGAGACAAGGACAGCCCAGAAAGCACCTCCCAGCAGGAAGGGCTTCTTTTGGTTTTGTTTTTGGTTGTTTTTTTTTTTTTCCCCAAAGATTTTTAATATTTAAAAAATGTCATTAGTGGGGTGTTAAAACCACCCCTGTGGCCCCTGAGGCTCAAATTCCCCATCTCCGTGGAACGGGGCGCCGCCGGTGATGGTTTCTGTCTTCCCTTCTTCCAACTTGGCCAATGTGACAAAACCGGGACGAATTTCTGGAACGTCTCAGTGCCGGGATCCACAGATTTCGCCAGCGCAAAGTTCTCAGCTGAGACATTGTCACTATTTTTGTAGCTTTTTTTTCTTTCTTTCTTTTTTTTTTCCTTGCTTTCTCTTTGAAGCTCTTCCGTGGGAGCCAGCTGGGCTGGAAATTTTTCACCTAAACGTTTTTTAGGTGAGAAACGGCCGTGCTGGCTGCCACGGCAAGCCTGCCAAAGATGATTTTGCTCTTCCCCCCCCCCCACCCCCTGGCTCTGTGGCCGCAGTGGGAGGTTTTGGTGTTCCCTGTGGTTTCTCCCCGGCCACGCTGGCGGGTGCCACGGCCCACAGTGGGGAAAAAAATGTTTCAGTTTTAGTGAAACACCCTTTTGCCCCCCGTTCCCCAGCGGCTCCGCGGTGGGTGCACGGTGCAGCGGCACCCTCAGCCCGGTGGGCTCGGCCACCCAGACCCCCCCCCGACCCCGACGTAGCCGGGGCAGCACCGGCAGAGCCACAGAGCCTCTCCTGGTTTTGGGGTAGCCGGGGATGCCGGCGCTCACCAGGGCACGTTCCGTGTCCAGCTCAGAGGGCTCCCAGCGTTTTGTATCGTCTCTCCTGTAGTTTAAGGCTGTATTTACACACCATCATATTCCAGCGTAAGGCTCCCCCTCCCTACGCCGACGGGATTTCTCTCAGTTCCTCCTGGGCCAAGCCCGTCCCTTCGGACTCGCGTGTAGCACCCACTCTCTTTTACAGTAAACTTGAACCTTTGTATCATCAAAAAGAAAAAAAAAAAAAAAGGTAATTACCGTATTTAACTTTCCCTGTGTTTCTGTCGCGTGTGTTTTATCTTTGTGTTGCTTTAAAGAAAAGGAGGGGGAAGCAAAGCAGAGGAGGAGCGAGGGGTCTATGGGGATCCCCCCCCCCAGCTGGGAGCTGTGTTCCTGCGGTGCCGGCGTGTGCCGTACGGAAACGCTCCCCTTCCAAATGAGCCCAATTAAAT